GTCCCGAAACCTTTCAGCTCGAGTTAGAAAATCGATTTCAGTGCCTGGAAGACTGCAATGAAGTGGACGATATGAATGATAAGCTCGTGGAAACTGTCCATGCGGTCTGAGCTAAATTCTGCAAGACCCGCCGCAGAAGAACACAAAAACTCTTCGATCACACTCTTAATCTCATGGCTGTTAGACGGGAAATGAAGCTAACTGGCAGAAAGGCGATAACGCTCTCTTGAAGAACTACAGACCGATTTCCCTTCTGCGCCGCATCATTACGAATCGTCTCGCACGCAGACTCGATGACTTCTAGCATTCCGAACAAGTCGGTTTCCGAAAAGGTTTTAGTACCATAGACACCATACACACCCTTCGGCAAATGTACAGCAGACATAAAAGTACAATCGCCACTTTGCCTTGCGTATGTGGACTATGAGAAAGTCTTTGATTCCGTTGAAATTTGGCTGGTGCTACAGTCCCTTCAGCAGTGCCAAGTTGACTATCGGTATATCGAAGTGCTGAAATGTTTGTACAGTAGGGCTACGATGGCTATCCAAGTACAGAACCAGAGTACGAAACCTATCCAACTGCAGAGAGGTGTAAGACAGGACGACGTTATGTCTCTTTTTGTTAAACTCTTGACCGCTGCATTGGAAGACGTTTTCAATCTACTGGACTGGAAAGGATATAGTTGTTATGGCAGAATCGCTTGAGGACCTAAGCACTATACTCAATGACCTCAATAGCGTTTACCATCGGATAGGTCTTAAGACGAACATGGACAAAACAAAGATCATATTTATTGTCCATGTCACACCTATGCCGGTAGTTCTTAAGAGCACTAAGCTCGAAGTTGTTGACGAGTATGTTTACCTGAGACAAATAGTCCGACTAGGTAAGTCAAACTTCGACCGAGAGGCCAATCCACGGATTCAACTTGGTTGGGCAGCATTCGGGAAATTACCGCACATCTTCTCGTCAGGTATAGGTACCTCAAAACATGAAAACAAGACTGTACAACCAATGCGTGTTGCCAGTGATGACCTATGGAACTGAGACGTGGTCCTTTACTGCTGCCGGATGAGGAAGCGCAAGGTTGCTCAGCGAGCTATGGAGAGGGCTATGCTCGTAGTTTCTCTGCGTGATAAACTTCGAAATGAGGATATCCGCAGTAGAACCAGAGTGACCGACATAACCCAACGGATTAGTGAGCTGAAGTGGCAATGCGCCGGCCATATACCTCCAAGAATCGACAACCGATGGGGAAAAAAGGTTCTCGAGTGGCGGCCTCGTACCGGCGGACGAAGTATAGGGCATCCCTCTACTAGATGGAGTGACGACCTCGTAAGACATGCAGGAAGTCGATGGATGCAGAGATTAGAATGGCTCTCCAGCACCTTAAAAACGGCAAGGCCCCAGGCGAGGATGGAATCACAGCGGAGCTTCTGAAAGCGGGTGGAAAACCGGTACTTGAAGTCCTTCAGAAGCTCTTTAATTCCGTCCTCCATGGCCGCATTACACCGGAGGCGTGGAGCAGAAGTGCGGTGGTCTTGTTCTTCAAGAAAGGCGACAACGCTCTCTTGACGAACTACAGACCGATTTCCCTTCTGAGCCGCGTCTACATGCTGTTTTCGAGAGTCATTACGAATCGTCTCGCGCGTAGACTTGACGACTTCCAGCCTCCCGAACAAGCCGGTTTCCGAAAAGGCTTTAGCACCATAGACCACATACATACCCTTCGGCAAATTATACAAAAGTCAGAGGAGTACAATTTGCCACTAAGTCTGGAGTATGTGGACTATGAGAAAGCCTTTGATTCCGTCGAAATTTGGGCGGTGCTGCAGTCCCTTCAGCGGTGCCAAGTTGACTGTCGGTATATAGAAGTGCTGAAGTGCTTGTACAGTAGGGCTACGATGGCTATCCGAGTACAGAATCAGAGTACGAAACCTATCCAATTACAGAGAGTTGTAAGACAGGGTGACGTCATATCCCCGAAACTCTTCACCGCTGCATTGGAAGACGTTTTCAAGCTTCTGGACTGGAAAGGATACGGTATCAACATCAATGGCGAGTACATCACTCACCTTCGATTTGCCGACGATCTAGTCCTTATGGCAGAATCGCTGGAGGACCTAAGCACTATGCTCAATGACCTCGATAGTGTTTCCCAACGGATAGGTCTTAAGATGAACATGGACAAAACAAAGATCATGTTCAATGTCCATGTCACACCTATGCCGGTAGTTGTTGGGAGCACTAACCTCGAAGTTGTTGACGAGTATGTTTACCGTGGACAAATAGTCCGACTAGGTAAGTCCAACTTCGACCGAGAGGTCAATCGACGGATTCAACTCGGTTGGGCAGCGTTCGGGAAATTACGGCACATCTTCTCGTCAGGTATACCTCAAAACTTGAAAACGAGACTGTACAACCAGTGCGTGTTGCCAGTGATGACATACGGAACTGAGACGTGGTCCTTCACTGCTGGCCGTATGAGGAAGCTCAAGGTCGCTCAGCGAGCTATGGAGAGGGCTATGCTCGGAGTTTCTCTGCGTGATAAACTCAGAAATGAGGATATCCGCAGTAGAACCAGAGTGACCGACATAGCCCAACGGATTAGTAAGCTGAAGTGGCAATGGGCCGGCCATATAGCTCGAAGAACCGACAACCGATGGGGAAGACAGGTTCTCGAGTGGCAGCCTCGTACCGGCAGGCGAAGTGTTGGGCGTCCCCCCACTAGACGGAGTGACGACCTGGTAAGATATGCAGGAAGTCGATGGATGCAGGTGGCTCAGGACCGTGTTTTGTGGCATTCCTTGGGGGAGGCCTATGTTCAGCAGTGGATTTGTGAAGAGTTGTAATGATGATGATGATGATGATCTATACTGAGTGGGAGGGTGCCCGATCCGATGAATTTGCCATGGGTTTAGTTACGGCCAACGGTATAGTTAAGCCACTGCTCCGAACTGCTACTGAGTATTCTTGATAGTAAATCCTAATAACTGATTTTGGCCCGACGCGGAATCCGAACCCGGGACCATGTGTTCAACCGTTACGCTTAAGGTGATCACTGACATGAGCTTTTGCTCGATATGAGCACGTTACAAGTGCATGTCATGTGTGTGGCATGTCAGTACAGCGAGCCGAATAGCTCGATGATGAGCGGGGAGTTACCGAGTGCGCTCCACCCGGCTGCCGGTTTTATGGCCCTTTGAATGTTACATTACAAGTCAGTCACTAGCGCGAGCAACGTTGAGAGCTCACTCGTTGCTCAGTTTATATAGTGGTATTTTTGAGTTTGGTAAAATGCAGTAGAGTGAGGAAAAATAAGTTTTAATCCGCCAGCTTTAATTCCCATTTTGAAGAAATACGCTTTCTTTTCTTCTTTAAGTGGCAGTAACAGATTAAAAGGAACGCAGCGCACTCTACCTCTACGTCCATCATTTTGACTACAACTACTGCAGCACAGTCAATCTATATATATTCGAACACAACATAACGAACAAATTCTTGATGCGAATATTCACATCACAAATTATAAAGTCGATGCACATTCAGTAAAAAGCAAATACACATGTCATTTGCCACCACCACTAGACCAACGAGGCAGTCAAAATTAAATTAATAGATTAATATCTCTATAATATAAAAATGAATCGCTGAATGTTTTGCTAAGCGCAAATCTCGAGATCAGCTGAACCGATTTCGCTAATTATTTTTTTATAATATTCCTTGAAGCACGAAGATGGTTCTTACGGAGAGAAACATTTAAAAAATTGCCTGAAAAAGTCTAAAAACAACACTTTTTTATATTCCCACTCAAAAGATTCGTAATAATACTTAAAAGTCAATTTGAACTTTAATACCATAGCATAAAGTTTAAGTGTTAGTGGAGGGGTTCCAGGAAGGCAAAACAATTGAGTGACGTTAGTATAGTATAAATATTAATATCAATATTTGTCAATATTTATACACACTGGCAGATAGCTGATGTTATAAGGAGTAACTTGGGCTGCTTTTATTTTAGGGTACCGCGAAAAATATCTATACGCGGGCGAAGTCGCGGGGATTAGCTAGTATCAAATACATATAAATTAGGTACATAAATTGTACTGCTGGCTTTTGCGATACTAATGAAAGAATTACTATATGCGCAAGCATCATATTAGTCTGTGATTACTATATACCTAGGTATTTTAAATTACAAGTGCAACCCCATAAGAAATGTATGTACAGGTTTCGACAGAATCACCAACAAAGCATATACCTTTATCATTACTATTAGGATTACCTATGAATGAGGGCTAATTTGGGACGAATACGTGGTAGAGCCACGCTGGAGCTATATTATGGTTGTAGCACGAATGGGTTGGCTCGACTGGGCAAGGACCAGAGAAACCGGAGACCCTTTTTACTGGAAACGATACATTCCATCTTAGTCCTCAGGAGTGATATAGCACCTGCATTTTGGTTCTTAATTGATAATTTATGTAAATGACTATGGATCAAGCGTGTGTGCTCCTTTGTCACCTTTATTCTATAAAAAAATGTGGCGTCAAAAATGCGAGGTATTTGGTACTGCGATTGCCAATCCGCTTGACAAGCTGGCGGTACGGAAAATCCTCCCTATAAAATTTAATTTAAATTACAGGCTTGGGCAGAAAGCTCAATGATGATGACAATGTGTGACCATTTCCGTGATAAATAAAATCACCTCAGTCACAACCAGCGCCATCTGGTCATTTGGGTTTTGGTTACCTATCTTATATTATATAACTTGAATTTAGATATATTTTTTGATGCAATCCAGAGAATACGTATTGTAATTTGATTAAATAAATAATAATTAAACACCCCATTTAACATGCCGTTAATGTTTTTGTGAAAATTGGATAAAAAATCGACTTTAGTTAGTAGAATTTCGTAGATTTTTGCTTCTCAGATAGATTGGTCAAATAAAACCTGGTCACACTTGTTCTTTTCTTTTTATTTTTTCATTCAAAACCAAAATGGCACTCAATTTGGTTGTCAAGGTTCATCCCGTAGTTTTATTTCAAATTGTTGATGCTTACGAGCGACGAAATGCAGATTCTCATCGTGTTATCGGCACTTTGTTGGGTGATTAATATTTATTGTTATGAGAAGTTATATTCAAGTTGTGAAGTAGCCATAATGCAACTAACCTCAACACATTTGTTGTTGTCATGTTTTTTTACGAATGCAAAAGTGATTGTAGTTTTAAAAATCATGCAATTAATAATTTTAACAGCAAATGATGAATTGGTATGTATATAAAGCGGTCACACAAAATTTGTAACTTCAATTCTTTTCGTTAAGGCACATCGGACAAAGGTGTGGTGGAAGTGACAAATTGCTTTTGCGTACCTCACAAGGAGCATGCGGATCAGGTTGAAGCTGAACTCAACTATGCCATGGACGTTTATGAGCTGAACCGAAGGGTTAATTCCTCTGAAAACATCGTTGGTGAGTAACATATTTAACTAGCTTTAAAAAATACAACCCGAAGGCATTCTAGACATTGTTAAATTTATAAGCATTTACAGCAGTAGTGTTGTGATGTAGGCAATAGTAATATTGAAGTGCAAGTGTGTCAACTTACCTGTAAATACTATTTTTGAACGACTAGTAGTAATGCTGGTAATATTACTAGTATTCTGGCTCAATTGTATATTACCTGTATGACTGCCTCGTTCGTGCAGTGGTTGTAAACACTGATCGGACTGCTGATCATGAGGTACTGGGTTTGATCCTAAGTCTTGCCAAACACAGTTATTATTATTAATTTACTCACACCAATTTGTTAGTACAAACTTTTGTGATGATAAATCTTGTTTTTGGTACTTTAATCCTAATTATTATATTATACATACATTTTTAAGTAGAAATATGAAACTATATTCCATTAGATGTAGCCTGCACTGACTGTGTTGCTTAGACATTCAAAACATAAATTATAAAGTATTTATTATATAATTTATGTATATATATATATATATATATATATATATATATATATATATATATATATATATATATATATATATATATTATATATTTTATTATATACTTTAAGAATTTAAAACTCAAGTGACAGCTTACATACATCTCAATGATTGGCACAGGTTTCTCTTTCTAAGAGGGTACGGCGCAGTTTGCCGCACTGCCGCAGTGCATATTAGCATTATTATTGCCATATTCTGAAAACTGAACTTGTTATAATTAACAATACAATCTAAATAAACAATGATTATATACTTATCATGCTACCTTGTTGAGGTTGATCAATGATGACGAAAAGTTACCACACATGCATGATTCGAAATAGCTGTTCTAGTATGTAAGTATATTACACTATAATGTTGGTCAATCAATTTTTAATTAATAAATTTTCCTGTCTTTTATATGTGGTAGTGCCAAGCTGCAGCTAGTATTATGGTTGTAGCACAAATGGGTCAGCTCAACAGCAGAGTAAAATAGCAGCTTAATGCTGCTGTGTTTCATATGCCGAGGGTAGAGAACTAGATACCCTTTTTCATAAGCCATTCAGTCTTAGTCCTCAGGGGTGACAATAAGTCTGCATATTGATTGTAAATCAAAGATAAATGTTGATGTCTATGGGCCACAGCATCTGATTATGATCTGGTGGACTGTGTGCTTGATTTCTCACCCTTATTCTATATATAAAATAAAATAAATTGTTGATAAATTTTCCTTTTTTTCACAAGTCTCTATTGAAACTAATTTATGTTTTATATAGTGTTTAATTTACTATTTATTAATTTTTTATTCCTGCAGTTGAATGTTATGGGGGCACAGGTGTTGTGTGGGGGAGTGACATTCCAATTTCATAGTTAGCCTGGCTACCTTCAGCTTTTGAATATTAATTTTTATTCCAATCACTATGATTAAACGTGATAAAATCCGTAAAATTAGTTTCATTTAATGTGTAGTATTTGCATAAATATAAGAAATCATTAAGAGTCTACTTTGAGAGTTTTAAGTATATCGTTTTCAGTCCATTATAATGTGTCTATGCAAACAGGATTAGGGGGTCAACACAGAAGTCTTTACTTTTACAGTCATACATATGTAGGCATTAATGTATTTAAAACTGCATGTAGTATCACTCATGTAGTAACTACGAAGAATTGGTAGAGCCACACGGCAGCTTTTGCTGTCGCAAGGATGGGCCGGCTCGAACCGGGGTGGTACCACGACCTCACAGAAAACCAGTGTGAAGTAGTTCGCTTGGTGAGTGCAGGTGGCCGTAGGCCCTTTTTACTGGAAATGAGGCATTCCATCTTAGTCCTCACGGGTGACAACGCATCTACATTTTGATTTGTAACAGAGGATAGATGTAGATGTCTATGGGCCGCAGCAACCACTTACCATCAGGTGGACTGTGTGCTCGTTTGTCACCCTTATCATATAAAAAAGAAAAACTAAAGTACAAAATTTGAATTAAGTCTGTTATAATTTAATATAGAATTTACATTCAACACATTCACTGAAGATTATAAAGCAAGTGAAAATATACTACATTGAATATAGATAAAAGAATATAAGAGTAAAAGGAAAGATACTAAGAAAGCAATTTGACGGCTCCGTGGCGCAGTGGCTTAGCAATGTGTTGCTGTGCTGGGGGCCTGTGAGTTTGAATCTTGCACAGAACAAGTATTTGTATGACCTGCAAATAATTGTTCCAGGTCTGAATGTTTGTCTTTGTACAATTCATGTTTGTAAACTGCTTTCACTATACAGGAGGAAATCCTAGTAGGGGGTAACACATTTTAATAAGAAAAAAAAATTAGAAGATTTAAATATAAGCATATAATTGCAAGGTAATTGAATGTGTCTACTTCTGAATCTTGGGATGAATTTAGAATAGATTGGCAGCAATTTGGAGGAGTAGGTGTTTTATTTGATAAGTTTGGGCCCCGATTATAACAATACCACTCACATTAAAAGGTACACCATTTTCGAGAAAAAGAACTATTATAACCTCATCATCATCATCACAATTACAGCTCCTCACAAGTCCACTACTGAACATAGACCTACCCCAAGGAATGCCACAAAGCACGGTCCTGAGCCACCTGCATTCAGCGACTTCCTACATGTCTTACCAGGTCATCTTTATATAATCTTTTTTATACATGGTAATTTTCTATATTATAATTTTTATATGTGGTAGAGCCATGCTGCAGCTAGATTTCTGGTATAGTTATAACACTAATAGGTCAGCTCGACCGGAGTAGGACCACACTCTCACAGAATACCAGCGTAAAATAGCAGCTTAATGCTGCTGTGTTTCGTATGGCGAGTGTAGAGAACCGTAGACCCTTTTTACTGGAAACGAGGTATTCCATCTTAGTCCTCACGGGTGACAACGCATCTGCATTTTGATTCATAATCGAGGATAAATGTAGATGTCTATGGGTCACAGCAACCACTTACCATCAGGTGGACTGTAAATGGCTCCATCTAGTGGGGAGACGACCTACACTTCGTCCGCTGCTACGAGGCCGCCACTCAAAAGCCTTTTTTACCTATCGGTTGTCGGTTCTTTGAGCTATATGGCCGGCCCATTGCCACTTCAGTTTACTAAGCCGTTGGGCTATATCGGTCACTCTGGTTCTACTGTGGATATCTTCATTTCTAAGTTTATCATGCAGAGAAACCCCGAGCATAGCCCTCTCTATAGCTTGCTGAATGACTTTTAGCTTCCTCATATGGCCAGCAGTGAAGGACCACGTCTCAGTTCCACAGGTCATCACTGGCAATACACACTGGTTGTACAGTCTCGTTTTCAAGTTTTGAGGTATACCTGACGAGAAGATGTGCCGTAATTTCCCGAACGCTGCTCAGCCGAGTTGAATCCGTCGATTGACCTCTCGGTCGAAGTTGGATTAAAATGTGTAATATTACTGTGAAAGCTAGATAGTATACATCATTTTGTGTAAGTGCGACAAGGACGTAAGACCGTGTTAAAGACTAGTATCACATTATTATACTTCTCTGGTATTTTTATTCTTCAGTGGTCTATGCTAAGTGTCAAATCGCATGACATACTAATTTTTATGCATTCCTGTATAGGACAGTTACTATTCTCTGATTCTATCGTCGGTAATGCTCTTCTTGCGTGAATGTGTGCTGCTCCAGTGTATTATTGTAGCTTTTATCGTGCCCAAAAATACTTTCAGTTGTAATAGGTTAGAATGTCGTGCCTGCGGCTTTATGGTTATTTTTTTCCACCACTCAAGAATACTTAGCACTCAGAAATCCTTACAGTTGTGATAGGAGACAACCCCGCTCATCCCTACAAACTCCGGCAGGAGGAGACAATAAATATTATCATTGTGCGGTTAGGTCTATGGCATTTTCTTTTAGTTCGGTGTATTACCTTTTGATGGGAGTGGTGTCGGGGGTTAAGTCACACTCCTTCTCCCCCCTCCGCCCCCCTCCTGCTAACTATTCTAAATTTTAACCCGAATCTCTAAGCAAGTGAAAAGCACCACGGCACTTTTATAGTTTTGAATCGTTTATAATCTGGTGAAAACCGTACGGCAACAGGATGGTGGGCCACCGGCAACGAGGTGACCAACCACTCGTCGGTGATCCACGAGTACTACTCGCGCGAGTGCCGCGAGCCGGTGCACGTGACGCTGGACACGTCGCTGGCGGGTGCGCGCATGGGGCTGCGCGCGTACGTGTGCGTGCCGCTGGGCGTGCCGCGCGGCAAGCAGGGCGTCATGTTCACGCCCATCGACGTCACGCTCATCTGCTACGAGCCGGAGGTGAGTACAGCCCACGCTCGATTCCGAACAAATCCCATTATTCTAATACACCTGCTTACAAGTCAGAGGCGAGTACAGCACGAGATGACTTGTCAATACAAGTGGACGGTCGAATAATGTCCTGCAAACCAAATGTCTAGCTGAGACTATCCTATCTGCACAGGACATGATTACAGTGCCCAAGTGTATGCACAAGCTCAGCTGCACTCTCTGTTCCTTCACTCTAGTCTGATGGGACGGTAATCCGACTCGACCAGAAAGAGATCAGGTGCAGCAACAAAGGCCTTACATGATTTCCGAAGCACCGGTGTGAAACACCGCCAATTTCCTGGCTCTGGGCAGCTACTGAGAATTTCTCGACAAAAATACTGATTTTGTTGACCTGACCCAGGATTCGAACCTGGGACATCATGATGAGCAGTCGCGTTTACGAGCACTAGACCAATGAGGCAGCCATACAATATATCTATAAAGCGGTATTAGATACTGCTGTAATACAGCGTCACTTGACAGAACATCAAACAAACTACAGCACAGACTAACTAGTACATAATAAAATTACCTTTCTTATTTACATTTTTTTTTTGCATATTTTTTTATATTTTCAGATTGTGGGTCTACAACTGTGCCAGAAAACGATGGCGCCTAACGGTCGGTCGCGTCAAGTGCAGCCCATGTTAGACCTGGCACAGGTCGCTGAGGCCGCTGCCAAACTCTCGGGACTTCTTGATCAGGTTCTTTTACATTACATTTTTTTTTTAAATACTGCACCTAATAAAAATCTGTAAGTATGTACAATTTTCTTTTTCAATTTTCTCACTATTACACTACTTCTTATTACGCTACTTCGTATTTGTGCTATTGCATTAAGTATGTCACAACATAATTCATCATCATCATCACAAGTCCTCTGCGGAAAGTAGGCCTTCTCTAAGACATGCCACAAAGCACGGTCCGGATCCACCTGCATTCATAGATTTCCTGCATGTCTTACCTGGTCGACACTCCTTCTATTAGGAGGCCATACTTTACTTTGCCTACTGGTACGAGGCTGCCACTCAAGAACCTTTCTTCCCCATCGGTTGTCGGTTCTTTGAGCTATATGGCCAGCTCATTGTCACTTCAGCTTACTAATCCGTTGGGCTATGTCGGTTACCCTGGTTCTACTATGGATATCCTCATTTTTAAGTCTATCATGGATAGAAACCCGTCGACATAATAACATAAAAGGCAATTATTGAAATATGACGAAATAAATAATGCTATATCAAAAGTAGTACACTGGTTTAACACCAATAATTTGCTTTTGAACGGTAATAAAATGAAATGTATTAAATTCACTACACCTAATGTTAAACAAGTGAATACCAGTGTATTTTTAAATCGGGAGGAGCTGAGCCTTGTTGAATCCACTGTTTTCCTCAGAATAACAGTTGACGCAAAGCTTCAAGGGGGCCCGCATATATCTAAACTATAGTATATTTCTTGAGCAGACGGAAAAACGTACATTGACCTTTGACGATATCATCGGGGTAGCCAACCTTTTTCTTAGGTTTTATCTTTTTATCCTTGTATCATTACATACATCACCAGAGTGAAAGATAAGAGTGCCGAGTGCGAAGTTCTTCGCAGGTCCTGTGTCTATTATTTTATTAATAAGAAAGAAGATTATCCTATACTTATATGAATTAAAAAGCAAATTAACATTAATTTAAATTTATTATTTATAAACCATAAGAGTTAATACAAATTTAATTATTACGTTAACAGTAGGTAAGTAGTGTAATAAGTCGGTAGGTGGGTAATTGTGCAAAACAAACCGTGAAGCCTGGCAACTTTGTCATTTTTGGAAGGACTTAAAAGTTTAGACCCAATTTTCCAACAAAAAATGTACTGTCACATTGGGCGTCAATGTTAAATGTAACATTATATTCTTCATAGATTTGGTATTTATTAGTGATTTAAACAAATAATAACATTAAATAGACAAATTACTTAAAAAAAGAAAATGGCAAAGTTAACCTCACTTTGTGGCAACTTTGCCATCGGGGTTTGTAATGAAAATAATAGGATTTGACTTCAAGGCTGAAGGTAAGTTTACCTCAATATAATACACAATACTCAGAGTTACGATTTGCTCCTTTATTATATATAGCAAAGTTTACTCTTGTGGCAAAGTTGCCCTCCCATTTTTCAATATTTCATACAAACTTGAAGATATGTGTCAGGGTTGTCAAAAATCTTACATACTTTACTTAAATTTTTTATTGAAATATTTTCACAACAATTTTTAGAAGGTATACGTTTTTTTTTTTAAATTAAATTCTCAATAATTGTAAATAAATAAACATATGAATAATTATTTTGCTAGATTCATCGTCACTATCAAAAAATTCGTGCGTATATCCAGGCGACTCAATGGTGATCCGAACTGCTTTTTTTTTTTGCTTTTTTAAAAATGTTACCTCCACACTAGGGCTTTCTCCTGTGTCGTGGAGGCAGTTTACAAACATAAATTGCACAAGGACAAACATCCAGACCCGGAACAATTATTTGTAGGCCATACAAATACTTGTTCCGTGCGGGATTCGAACCCGCGGCCCCCAGCGCAACAACTGATTGCTAAGCCACTGCGCCACGGAGCCGTCTGCTAAGCCACTGCGCCGTCAACTCACTTGTCGCAATCAAAACTTTAACAATGTCTTTATCTTCAGATTCACTTAATCTCTGTGGTGCACCAGGCGAAAGCCGATTACTTTTGTGTGTGGCGTATGACACGCGAGTCGTGTCTTTTTAAAAATCGTTATAACTCGCTCAAATTGCTTTTTTGGAAGATTTTTCCAGAACAAAATAAATATTCATTATTTTGCAAGTAGTTCATGCCTGCAGCTTCGTTTCTGGATATTTTGAAAATTTGAAATTTTTAGAGGTTGACAACCTTTTTTTAACGTGTACATGGTACTATTTTTACTTTGTGGGTTTTAAATCATGTTGTGGAAAAATAGCCTAATAAGTAACAAATAATAGCACTCATTGCGATCGCTCACAAACTCAAGTTGTAAATAAATTTCTGGAAAACAAGTGTGTTAAAAAAAAACAATGCGTTCGTCTTATTGTTTAATTTTGCTTAAAATGGTTGAACTGCCGTCTTATTACTATCATATGGCTGAATAGATCTACGAAGTACCATGTGCTCTTGTGATATGGTATAAGGTTTATTTTTGCTTGAAACAGTTTGAAACCGTTCATGCATAAAAAAGTACGCTAATAAATTGTCTTTTATCAATCCACCGCCGTATAGCGCCGGTGTTTTTTTCCTTTTGAAAACACTTGTTTTGCTATTCTGACTAATTAGACGTTTTCAGATCGACTTTACTTTTACATCTGTATAACATTAAATAATATTTAACATTTGTAAATATCAATGAATCATAAACCTTATATTTTTTCCAAATTAAGGTTCTTCATTGTTTGATATTTACAAAATGTTATTGTTAGATGAAAATTTAATTTAATAAAAACCATGGTTTTCCAGGGTGATTTAGCTGTACCTACTTATATAAATTATTTTTTTATAAAATACAAACTAGAACAAAAGGTTTGTAATCTCTGCATAAAAAAGTCACTCTCAATTTGAAAGAAACGTAGAAAAACACATTTACCCACTAAAACAAGTATCCTTCCGTTTGCAACTGATGTTTGATGTCAACTAAACTTAATTAGCGACGATAGGCGTGTCACTAAATATTTTTTCGCCGCCACAGCTAAAAGTTGTCGAAAATCGGCGCCGCAACGAATCGGTTAACTTTATTTTCTATTGTACGTCTTGGTATGTAAAATCGCTTTTCCGCTTCCATAGAAGATCTCTTTTGTTTATACTAAGTTGGCGGCGACGTTCAGCATTTATTCTGAGTAATTTTTATATGGTCTACTTCTTAATTTACGTCTACTTTGGCGACCCATTTTCCTAAAGTGATATTATTTTATTAAGAGCAGGATTTTTTTTATAAACAATCTCTATTTTGATTTCCAACAATAGCAAAACTATTTAGGTATAAGTAAGCAATTAAAATGACACTGTTCTTTGGTTACAAATTATATTTATACTCTAAGTTGAAAATATGAAAAATACTAAAAAGTAATAATATTATTAATACCCGACAACGCAGTAAAATAATATAAATATCTCTTTTCTTTTCTTTTTCTTTTAATAAAATGACTCGATTAAATGTCAATCGATTCATTGTTATTACAAATAAAATCGATCCAATAGTCTGCTACGGTGAAACATTTATACAAACATACATACATAGATCATTTAAATCGCCATAGTCGGGTCAAAATATAAACTAAAAGTGACAACCCTTGGTTGTAGCAAAACATGGCAAAGTAACCGTCACATCGTGAAATCACTAGTATGGTAACTTTGCTAAGTTAGTTTTATAGACAAATATTAAGACTACTATATTAAAAACGAAATATTACATTTCCTAGCCATTAATATTATGTTATTACAAAGATATAGGTACGTACATTCAATATTTCAACTAAAATCCACAAAAGTTCTGGAGCACTCAAAAAGGTGTTTAAGTCGCCAGCATGATTTCGTGGCAAAATAAAATGTCAAAATTTACTCTGATATTGCCATATTGAAAATAATGGTATTAATTAGTTATTAAATTTTCATACAAAAAATGACAAACCTCAGAAAACGTTACGTTTTCCGTGTTAATCGTAATTTTTTACCAGTACACCACTGATGACAAAGTTACCTTCCATTGGTAAAGTTGCCAGACTTGACTGTAACCACTTCTTGGCAGTCGGGTAAAATGGCGAACTTCTATCGAATCTACCACGGGGAGTGCTCTGAGGAATTGTTCGGATTAATTCCAGCCGCCAAATTTCACGAACGCACATCGCGTCAAAATTCACGATACCATCCTCACCATCTGCATGCTTGGCGATCCACGACTGTGCGTGTGCGTTTTACTAGGAGTTTTCTTCCTCGTACAACTTCTATGTGGAATTGTTTACTACCGGCGATTTTTCCGGACCGATGCGGTTTAGGGATCTTCAAGAAAAGAGCATACACCTTTCTAAAAGGCCGGCAACACACCTGCGATTCCCCTGGTGTTGCGGTTGTTTATGGGCGGCGGTAGTCACTTACCATCAGGTGAGCCGCATGCTCGTTCGCCCTTCTTCTATGAAAAAAAAAACTTTTAATGTATTCTTTAGCAGTTAACCTTGAAGCATGCATCTAATAATAGATTGTCAGAGACACTTGACTATGCTTTTGTAACTATTTCAGAATCATTTTCTGATGATAAAAACGTGGAAAAGTTCTCCCCATTGATTATAAAACTATCTACGTTTTATCAATGGCATTATCCAATTAGTTTAATTTTTCTTCTTTTATGACGTGGTTAATGCAGTTTTTCTACTTTATATGGTCAATATTGTATAGCCTTTCTTCAAATAGTTTTTTGACATCTGCCATTTTAAAAGTGGTATTGTTTCGGTTTAGGTTTGTTATCTCTGAATGACCGCTTCCTTCACCCCGTATCATGAAACACGCTTAGCGCATAACGATACGTAATCGATAATGAAATTTATGGAAGCAATACCTGTCGTTTTTGTTTCGGTGCTAACATAATACTTTAGGTCAATGCACGTTTTTCCGCCTGCCCTAGAAACATACTATAGCTAGCAAACTTAGTTCTGCAGCATATGCTGTAAAAAATATTAGAGGGCTTACATGTGTTGAAACTGCTAGATTAGTTTATTTTAGTTATATGCATAGCATAATGTTATATGGAATCTTGCTATGGGGTAATTGAAACTATCTTTGTTTTGCAAAAGAGAACCATTAGAGCAATTTATACCCTAGGTCCGAAGGTATCCCTTAGAGAAAATTTTAAAGAAATAAATATATTAACTTTGGCCTTTCAATATATTTACGAGAATTTCATGCAAATATAAAAATTGTTTTATTAAAAGTATTGATGTACAGTCTGTAAATACTAGTAACAAGCACAATTTAGTTATACCAGTTACTCGACTCCAAAGAGTCAGTAATTCCTTCATGGGACAATGTATATGTTTTTACAACAAAGTACCAGAAAATTTGCAGACTTTATCTATCAGAAGGTTTAAAAAATATTTACGCAAAAATTGTCTAGTAAGGGTTATTATATTAGATAAAGAGTACATGATTGATAACAACCCCTGCGAATGAGGTGATCGTTACCACGCTGTTTCAAAAGGTTTTCATAATAATTGTATAAAATATTATATTATAAATTGTACTTTTAAGCACCACTGGGTTTCTTGATGGTTCTTCCCAGGACAGAGGTTTTTTGCGAACCAGTTATAAAAGTAAAAAAATACCTTCAATAAGTATGATTTATTGTAATCTATATGGAAAAACTCTGGCAAAAGTACGACAGTACAAGTCCATAACGAAAAAGACATTACTTTTTTGAAATGTATTGGTGTATTGTCATTTGTGGTGATTTGCAATTGTAAGATTGTTCATCTATTTAAGCTTCCAACAAAGTTCTTTACCTACTCATTTATTTTATGGTTGTAGCATGAATAGGTCTGTTTGACTAGAGAAGGTTATTGCTTTCACAGAATAACGGCGTAAAATAGTATCTTTAGTGCTGCTGTATTTTTTATGGTGAGGGAAGAGAACCATTTAGTCGACATTAAAAAATGGAGGGAGTTTACTTAACTGTGCATTTTTTTGTGTTATACAATATCTTTGTTAATTATGAACTGTTTTTGTTGATTTTTATTTTTATTAAATATGTTATAACTTCATGAGTGATCTCATATTAATTTGGAGAAAACAACAAAATAGGGGATGTCGTTTTGTATAGTTCTAAAAAAAATTAACAGTAAAAAGTAAAAGCCAACTTCAAAAAATTTCTTAAAAAGAATAACATAATTTCACATTTATGTGCTTTACACTTTAATATCTTAACATTGAATTTTAAGTGAAATTATTTTTTAGTTATTTGAAGTTAGCTTTTACTTTTTATTACAAGTAAATTTTTTTTAACTTGTGAGCTTGTGACTAGGCATTCTATCGTAGTGATTAGGGGTGACATCATATCAATTTTTGATTTGAAATTGGAAGTTGTTACGCAAAAAGGATCTAACCCACAAAAGGCTACTAATGAAGTATTGATGTTTGAATACTTCTAAAAAAGTTTCCTAGTGTGACTAACATTTTTTTTTTTAATAAATAAGTCGTGTATTAGTATTAAGTGTTAATGATTTTCTTTCCCTTTCTTGATTGAGATTTTAATGACATTTCTTTTATTATACGAGGGCGGGTCAATAAGTCCGTGACTTTTTGAATTTCTGACCTCTTTACTGAAAAACAGGCAACAGGCATCTGTCAGTTGACTTCTGTCAAAATTTGAACTTGCTGCGTCAGTTAGTTTGTGTTTGACAGCTACCCAGTAATTTGAGGAAAAAATGGAAAAAAGTGAATTTCGTGTGCTTATTAAGCATTATTTTTTTGCGAAAAAAAACCATTACTGAGACCAAGGCTAAGCTTGATAAATACTATGGGGACTCTGCACCATCGATTTCAATGGTAAAAAAGTGGTTTACTGAATTTCGTTGTGGCCGTACAAGCACTGAAGATGCCGAACGTCCTGGACGCCCAGTTGAGGTCTCTTCACCCAAAACAATCAAAAAAATTCACGATGTGGTGTTGGCCGACCGAAGATTTGGCCGAGAAATGGCTTTGTGGAAAAAGATTTGACTCCAATGATGAAGTCATCTCGCAAACAAAGGCCTATTTTGAGGACCTCGACAAATCACATTTTTTGGAAGGGATAAGAAAATTGGAGAAGCGTTGGACAAAGTGTATAGAGCTCAAGGGAGACTACGTTGAAAAATAAAATGATTTATTTATCAAAAAATCTGTGTTTTATTCCAAAAGTCACGGACTTATTGACCCACCCTCGTATGAACACCGTTAGCGTTTATTTTATATTTATAAATCCTAATGGTTATTTTTGAATAAAAATGAGTTATGTACCATAACTCATTTTTGATCCAACTGTGGGTTGGATCCTTTTTTCTTAATTACATCCGATTGTGGAAAAGTTTAAGTGTGTATGGATCTCAACATGTACTTATGATTGCGCGGAATGCGCGGTGTGGGTGCAGGTGCTGCAGTACGTGGAGGACGTGCTGGCGGATCGCGTGGCGCCGCACAACGCGGCCGGCCGCCAGCTGCTGGAGCTGGCGCACTCGCTGCCCAGCCTGGCCGCCGACGCGCTGTCCGCAGCCTTCGCCTCCAGTGTCAAGGACCTGCTCATGGTAAGTGAGTGCACGTTGCAGCTGCAGCTGCTGGAGCTGGCGCACTCGCTGCCCAGCCTGGCCGCCGACGCGCTGTCCGCAGCCTTCGCCTCCAGTGTCAAGGACCTGCTCATGGTAAGTGAGTGCACGTTGCAGCTGCAGCTGCTGGAGCTGGCGCACTCGCTGCCCAGCCTGGCCGCCGACGCGCTGTCCGCAGCCTTCGCCTCCAGTGTCAAGGACCTGCTCATGGTAAGTGAGTGCACGTTGCAGCTGCAGCTGCTGGAGCTGGCGCACTCGCTGCCCAGCCTGGCCGCCGACGCGCTGTCCGCAGCCTTCGCCTCCAGTGTCAAGGACCTGCTCATGGTAAGTGAGTGCACGTTGCAGCTGCAGCTGCTGGAGCTGGCGCACTCGCTGCCCAGCCTGGCCGCCGACGCGCTGTCCGCAGCCTTCGCCTCCAGTGTCAAGGACCTGCTCATGGTAAGTGAGTGCACGTTGCAGCTGCAGCTGCTGGAGCTGGCGCACTCGCTGCCCAGCCTGGCCGCCGACGCGCTGTCCGCAGCCTTCGCCTCCAGTGTCAAGGACCTGCTCATGGTAAGTGAGTGCACGTTGCAGCTGCAGCTGCTGGAGCTGGCGCACTCGCTGCCCAGCCTGGCCGCCGACGCGCTGTCCGCAGCCTTCGCCTCCAGTGTCAAGGACCTGCTCATGGTAAGTGAGTGCACGTTGCAGCTGCAGCTGCTGGAGCTGGCGCACTCGCTGCCCAGCCTGGCCGCCGACGCGCTGTCCGCAGCCTTCGCCTCCAGTGTCAAGGACCTGCTCATGGTAAGTGAGTGCACGTTGCAGCTGCAGCTGCTGGAGCTGGCGCACTCGCTGCCCAGCCTGGCCGCCGACGCGCTGTCCGCAGCCTTCGCCTCCAGTGTCAAGGACCTGCTCATGGTAAGTGAGTGCACGTTGCAGCTGCAGCTGCTGGAGCTGGCGCACTCGCTGCCCAGCCTGGCCGCCGACGCGCTGTCCGCAGCCTTCGCCTCCAGCGTCAAGGACCTGCTCATAGTAAGTGAGTGCACGTTGCAGCTGCAGCTGCTGGAGCTGGCGCACTCGCTGCCCACCCTGGCCGCCGACGCGCTGTCCGCAGCCTTCGCCTCCAGTGTCAAGGACCTGCTCATGGTAAGTGAGTGCACGTTGCAGCTGCAGCTGCTGGAGCTGGCGCACTCGCTGCCCAGCCTGGCCGCCGACGCGCTGTCCGCAGCCTTCGCCTCCAGTGTCAAGGACCTGCTCATGGTAAGTGAGTGCACGTTGCAGCTGCAGCTGCTGGAGCTGGCGCACTCGCTGCCCCGCCTGGCCGCCGACGCGCTGTCCGCAGCCTTCGCCTCCAGCGTCAAGGACCTGCTCATAGTAAGTGAGTGCACGTTGCAGCTGCAGCTGCTGGAGCTGGCGCACTCGCTGCTCAGCCTGGCCGCCGACGCGCTGTCCGCAGCCTTCGCCTCCAGCGTCAAGGACCTGCTCATGGTAAGTGAGTGCACGTTGCAGCTGCAGCTGCTGGAGCTGGCGCACTCGCTGCCCAGCATGGCCGCCGACGCGCTGTCCGCAGCCTTCGCCTCCAGCGTCAAGGACCTGCTCATGGTAAGTGAGTGCACGTTGCAGCTGCAGCTGCTGGAGCTGGCGCACTCGCTGCCCAGCCTGGCCGCCGATGCGCTATCCGCAGTCTTCGCCCCCAGCGTCAAGGACCTGCTCATGGTAAGTGAGTGCACATTGGAGCTGCAGCTGCTGGAGCTGGCGCACTCGCTGCCCAGCCTGGCCGCCGACGCGCTGTCCGCAGCCTTCGCCTCCAGTGTCAAGGACCTGCTCATGGTAAGTGAGTGCACGTTGCAGCTGCAGCTGCTGGAGCTGGCGCACTCGCTGCCCAGCCTGGCCGCCGACGCGCTGTCCGCAGCCTTCGCCTCCAGCGTCAAGGACCTGCTCATGGTAAGTGAGTGCACGTTGCAGCTGCAGCTGTTGGAGCTGGCGCACTCGCTGCCCAGTCTGGCCCCCGACGCGCTGTCCGCAGCCTTCGCGTCCAGCGTCATGGACCTGCTCATGGTGAGTGAACGTTGCAGCTGCATCTGCTGGAGCTGGCGCAATCGCTACCCAGCCTGGCCGCCGACGCGCTGTCCGCAGCCTTCGCGTCCAGTGTCAAGGACCTGCTCATGGTGAGTGCACGTTGCAGCTGCAGCTGTTGAGCTGGAGAGGAGAAAGACACTCGTCCTAACTTACCTGTGATGTGTTAGATGGCAACGCTGTTACAAAAACAGAAATAGGCAGCAACAAAGTCAATAATCAGATCCAGTAATAATTACCGAAACTTTAGTTTCGCCCAGCTAAGTTAGGACTACTAACATCATCATCATCATCATCATCATCATCATCATCATCATTATCATTACAGCCCTTCACAAGTCCACTGCTGAACATAGGCCTCCCCCAAGGAATGTCACAAATCACGGTCCTGAGCCACCTGCATCCATCGACTTCCTGCATATCTTACCAGGTCGTCACTCCATCTAGTGGGGGGACGCCCAACACTTCGCCTGCCGGTACGAGGCTGCCACTCGAGAACCTTTCTTCCCCATCGGTTGTCGGTTCTTCGGCCCATTGCCACTTCAGCTTACTAATCCGTTGGGCTATGTCGGTCACTCTGGTTCTACTGCGGATATCCTCATTTCTGATTTTATCACGCAGAGAAACTCCGAGCATAGCCCTCTCCATAGCTCGCTGAGCGACCTTGACCTTCGTCATACGGCCAGCAGTGAAGGATCACGTCTCAGTTCCGTTCCATCACTGGCAACACGCACTGGTTGTACAATCTCGTTTTCAAGTTTTGAGGTATACCTGACGAGAAGATGTGCCGTAATTTCCCGAACGTTACCCAACCGAGTTGAATCCGTCGATTGACCTCTCAGTCGAAGTTGGACTTACCTAGTCGGACTATTTGTCCCAGGTAAACATACTCGTCAACAACTTCGAGCTTAGTGCTCCCAAAAACTACCGGCATAGGTGTGACATGGACATTAAACATGATCTTTGTTTTGTCCATGTTCATCTTAAGGGAAATCGGTCTGTAGTTCTTCAAGAGAGCGTTGTCGCCTTTCTTGAAGAACAACTTCTGCTCCACGCCTCCGGTGTAATGCGACCATGGAGGACGGAATTAAAGAGCTTCTGAAGGACTTCAAGTACCGGTTTTCCACCCGCTTTTAGAAGCTCCGCTGTAATTCCATCCTCGCCTGGGGCTTTGCCGTTTTTAAGGTGCTGGAGAGCCATTCTAATCTCGCTCAGACTGACGTCCGGGATATCATCGGAATAGTGTCGGATAAGACTCGCTCTTGGATCGTTACTCACACTCGCGTGTGGCTCCAACGATGACGTGTACAGCTGCCCATAGAACCTCTCAATCTCACTCAAAATCTCAGGTGCCCCGGAAACGATGCTGTCACATTCTGTCTTCAGCTTTGACAGTTGGCTCGTTCTGGCAGACAGATCTCTGGCAAAGACTTTGGAGCCTTGGTTCCGCTCGATCGCTTCTTCAATACGAGCTGTATTAAAGTTGCGTAAGTCCCGCCGCATGCATTTGGAGATCTGTCTGTTCAGTTGCCTGTATGCTGTCAAATCTGTTTAAGAATGTAGCTTCATCTCCCCTCTAACAGCCATGAGATTAAGAGTGTGATCGGAGAGTTTTTGTGTTCTTCTGCGGCGGGTCTTGCAGAACTTAGCTCCGACCGCATGGACAGTTTCCACGAGCTTGTCATTCATATCGTCCACTTTATTGCAGTCTTTTAGGCACTGAAAACGGTTTTGTACGGAGCACGAGGGGGACGGAGCGTGGACTTCATTAGACGAGACCTCTCCAACTTAACGTCTGGGTTCAGTGTGCCTCCAACCGTGCGGTGATCGCTGCCGGTTTTCACCCTCGCGATCACTGAAACATCACTGAACAGTTGTCGTCTGGTCGTCATAATGAAGTCAATCTCATTTTTTGTCGAACCGTCGGGGCTCGACCAGGTCCACTTTCTGTGGGGCCGCTTCTGGAAGAAAGAGTTCATCATAAAGAGTCCCTCTTTCTCCATGAAGTCGGCCAGCTGCTGGCCCCTTGGGTTCCGTTGCCCTATTCCAAATTTCCCTTCTTTCAGCTTACCATTCTCTCTTATAGTTTTGCATTGAAGTCTCCTATTAACACCGTATATTGGGTTGTTTTGGAGGAATGCATGGCTCTAGAGATATCCTCATACATTTCCTCCACCTCCTCATCGGGGTGTGCCGAGGTTGGTGCGTAAACCTGTATGACCTTCAGCGAATACCGTTTGGTGATTCTGAGTATAAGATACGCAACCCTCTTCGACACACTCTCAATCTTTACAACGTTGTTAACGAGAGACTTGTGGACGATAAATCCGACACCTCCTTGGGACAGATGGTCGCCCTCCCGGTAATAGAGCAAGTTGCCGGATTCGAGGATTACCGTTTCATCCCCCTCTCTTCGGACTTCGGATAATCCTATAACTCCACAATCTTCTCGTCAGTCCTCAGGGTGCGTGCGTTGTATGTTGCCAGGTCGAGTCGTCGCAGGTGGCAACCGAACCTCCACCGGAGATTCTTAGCACCCCCTGCCCCGCCGTTACCATGGTCGCCACCGTAGCCAGGAATAGCGGGGCCGTCGGGGACTCGGGGCCGTGTCTTAGTAACTTTATCCGCGAGCGGGTTGGCATCCGCAGTTTTTTTATTGTATTTTTGCTGTTATCAGGAAGATGCTGCTGCCCATCTCCTGCCTGTTTCCCTTTGTCGCCTTTTACGACACTCACTGTAAGATATGGGGTAGTGGATATTCTTAACCGCCACTACACGGCAAGACTAACAACGATGACCATATTATCTTGCCAAAACCATCAACTGAATAGGAAGTATGAATAACGCATCCCTATTTACCCATGTTCACAATATAATGCTACTAACAACGATGACCATATTATCTTGCCAAAACCATCAACTGAATAGGAAGTATTAATAACGCATCCCCATTTATCCATGTTCACAATATAATGCTTATGCAATAAGGTCAAGAGTAGGATAGAATGCATTATTATCAAAAACGGGAGAACAAACCCTGTAAACATTTGTTTTACACAACAAATATTTATTCCCACCCGGGATTCGAACCCCGGATCCGTAGCGTAAATAGTCGTAAGATAAGATTACCACCACTAGACCGACCATACAGTCACTTCTCGTACGATAAATCGCTTTTGCGCCCACTCCAAAATATATCCTGTAAAACACGGACGGTCTGGCTATAGAACAGCATTTTACATAGTATTACGTAAATTCATAATTTCTTAAAATAAAATAATAAATGTAGGTATTGGTAAAGATTCAAATCTGAGAGCAACAAATCCATTAGCGTAGGCATCGTACGCTGAGTTTATATAAAGAAACCCTTTTGGCTGGTTGCAAAGGCGCTATTATGGTAATGCAGGAAGGTATAGTCGTTGACTTACCCGATAGCTCAGCTCTCTTGTGTGCGGCTGCTGGTCTTTCCTCTTGCTTGCACCACTCACTCTATAATAGTTCCCTAAATATAATTCACACGAACAGTTCATATTTATGAGGGGCTGAATATAGTGTAGTATTTCAGTGCGTTAATGACAGGCGGTGTCCGATGACTGTAAGTGATCTGAAGACGAATAAAAAATAACGGTCGTTGTCTTTTACATCGAATCTTCTAGTTGCAGCGAATGCTGTCTTTTTCATCGAAGGAGAAAAATAATATATGTTGATCCTCTGATGTGATTGGTGTATTCATTCAATTTTTAAATATGTGCGAAAACGGTGTTAACACCTTTTGTAATTTTAAATATAAAATATACTTTTAAAATACTATATTTGATGTGATGTTCAATATTTTGTAAATTAATTTTCAGGTGGTGACTCTGGCGCAGTTGATCAAGACTCAATTACAGCTGAACGAGAAGCTCACCTTACTCACGTCCCAATGAGATCAGCCCTTGGGATGAGCGTCATCCCAATACATGTCCCCATTTATTCACTGAAATATTCTCGGGGAGAACTTTCTAACATCTACGAAGTTGTAATTATATGATTGTATGATAAAAAGCGTCAGCAGTTTGTTTAATTGTAATAAACCGCAACGTTACAATTTCTTTGATTTTTATTTATCCCTTTCAAGCCCGCCAAAAACGCCAAAAATCGTGCACATTTTTTTTTAAATTCCCGCGTCGCTTCGATTCAATTTTGTAGAGCCAACCACCACCACACTATCGTGCATGTATTACGCTTAGGGCTCGACCGAGGCGGGTTTATCATTCTCGGCCGAGACCGAGACCGAGAATAAAATATTGGCAGAGACCGAGAATAGACAAATTGTGAAAAAAAGCAACATGCTTTTAACTGTTTGATAAAAATGAATTATTTTAATAATCAAAATAAAATAACATAATGTAGCATGAAAAAAGTAATTTTTCGGCATTTTGACCCTTCAATGAATGTCGCCTGTTATCGTACAACTGTCCAGTTTTACTAAAAGAGTCCATCCGATAATAATGAAGATATTTGACTAACTTCATTATTTCGAATCCTTAACAAAATAACGTACACATTAAGTTATAATCCCCTGTCAATCTGTAAATCACATATTCGAAAACTTACTCGCTTTCCATTTCCAATGTAATCAATTTACAAATTGCAATAACAACAAGTAGACACTCCTCACACTGTGAGGTTATATGTACTTGTATGCACAGTTTGTGAGGCTCACAGCAACACGTACTTATTATTATTTACTATGAAATACGAGATCATAGAGAAAAGTCATGCGAAATTTTACCAAAATGAATACAAATGACAATAAACTGCGAACGAACTGCGCGAAGACGGCCGCAGTTCAACGGGGCTGTCGCAACCAATCACAAAACAGTTAGTCATTCAACCGAGCGACGAACATAACTGCGCGCTAATTTGAATCCAATCGGTACAGGTAAGTAACAGTTCGGCCTTGGCGGAGAATCTCGACGATTTTTAGTCGAGAATGCTGAGACCGAGATCTCGGTAGAGCCTTAATTACGCTCCTTATAGAATAATAATTTTCTGTTTAGTAGGCATCAGTTAGGTGACAAAGATGGCAGCGTTTCCTGACGTTGGCGGCGGTAATCGTAATGTTTTTTTTGCGACTTTTAGTGTAAACATTTTGATCTTGATGTTATTTCGTAGATGTAATCATTGTTTACCCATTCAACAAGTTTTTACCGTAGAAACTTATGATTTTTCAAAATGACACCACAAACTCAAATAATCACGATCGTGACGTTCAGGTCTATCTTCACTTTAAACGGTTTTAGGTAACTATTATCATTTGTTGAATTTGTAATTATTTTTATTTTTGACAGGTGTTGAACTTACCAGTGATTTGGTATTACATCTACTTGGGGATGGCAATGATTCAGAGGTAGAAGGACTAGACGATGAAGCAGAATTATCTCTCCAAAAGGTCATCGATTCCTGCTGATGGAATTTCGACTGCGCCGTCTCCAGTACCGCCACCGCTTGCACGACGGCATCTTGTAAATGTTGGCCAAAGACACTCGGAAGTCAGAAGAAGAATTTGGAGACAGGTACCATTTAATCAAAAAGAACATGACTACCACAGGCACAGGCCACAGGCTCCTCCAGTTGCAATTAGAGGGCCTTTAGAATATTTCAATGAATACTTTGATGACAAGTTTTTTAACATTGTATTATGTAATATGTATATGTAGTAACAACGACTACATGTGTCGTACAGGCCGGATTCTAAATACCATATTCCATTGAACTGAAAAAACTTGTTGGGATTCATTTGATCATGAGTGTCATCCAATACCCACGGCTATTCATGTATTGGCGAGATGGGATGCTAACATCATGACTAAAGAAAGGTTAAAGACAATACGTTCAGCTTTCCACGTCGTTGACAGCGATACTGCTCCACCAGGTAATGTCGATACTTGACCGGGTCAAAGAAGTTTATGACAAATTGATTTTATTCCGTTGACGAACAAATGCTACCGTTTAGCGGAGTTTGTCCACGTGGGCTGCAACAAGTGATCAAAGGTTAGCATCAACCCCAAGGTCTAAAGATATTCGTGGCCACAACTCATAAATGTCTCACGATAGACTTTGAAGTCTATAGAGGTGCCAACACTCGGTTCGGCGACAGAACTTCCAAGAGGGACCTGTATTTACTTTGATCGCTACTTCTCGTCGATTCCTTTGCTTGAAAAGTTAAACACCATTGGATTGCACGACACAGAGACGCTAATGATGAATCGATTACCACAACGCAAAAACATTGATTTAAAACCTGACCGCCGAATGCAACGCGGTGAATCACAGCAGTTTGTCTGTGACGATATGGTCGTAATTAAATGGATGGACAAGGCCGTGTTAGTCGCATCAAACTGCACACGTCTGCAGATGAAACAACTTTTGTGAAGTTGTTTCATCTGCAACAAAAACCATCGCAAACTACAACAGGCACATGGGCGGTGTAGACATCCGTGATCAATCAAGGGAATATTACTGCACTTTCACGAAGACAAAAAAATGGACACTGAAGGTAATACTTCATTTCATTGATCTGCTTGTTTGTAATGCATGGCTCTTGTACAAATTGGAATGCGCAGCAGCTGAGATCCCTAGCAACAAAACCATGGACTTACTTTACTTTAGAATGCAAGTAGCCCATGGACTAACCGGCACACCTATTCGTAGAAGGAGGACTCCAAGTGATGATGGCGATGAAGCCGAAAATTTAGAGTCAAACACGCCAAAGTTTAGGAGATAAAATCAACCATCTCAAGCTAAAAGATGATGGCTATTACCACCTCCCAAGTTTTGAAGCAATCGACAATCCCTCCGCATGCCGAATGAAAGGACATAGGAGCCGACCAAAGCTTAGATGCGAAAAGTGTGACGTGTACCTGTGTCTCTCGAGGAAACCAAACTGCTTTGTTGCTTACTGATAGATAGATAGATAGATAGAAAATTCTTTATTGCACTCAAACAAACAAACATTTGGTACAAAGGCGAACTTAATGCCAAAAAGGCATTCTCTGCCAGCTAACCTTTGGTAGTGTGGTGAGAGTTATGGGTAGAGCCGCAACAGAGGGAAAAAAAAAACTAACTTACTTTAGAAACTAACTTCACATATTATTCAATAATATAATATTATATAAATATGTTACTTTATATATATTGACACTTCATACACACACATATATACATATATATAAATGTATATATACATATAAACAAAAATACATACTATACCAATAAAATACATACAATTTAGTATAAGAAAATATAATATTATATAAACCAATAATATTAATCAAGTAATTTTAAATAATGTGCCTCAACCTTACGTTTAAATGAATTTATTGAGGGAGCATCTTTTATATCTCGTGGAAGGTTATTCCAAAGTGTAATTGATGATACCGTAAAGGAATCTGAGTAGTATGTAGATTTATGCAACGGGATAGTTAGAGTTTTATTGGACATCGAACGGGATAAGCTTAAGTATGAAAAACGCTCTTTCAGATAAGCTGGGGAACAAGGATTGTAAAGAATACCATACAAAGTGGTTAGAAGGTGTGTGTTCCGGCGAAAACGGATGTCGAGCCACTTAAGTCTTGAGCGAGATTGTGATATATGATCAAACTTGCGCAGGCCAAAAATATAGCGTATGCACAAATTGAGCAGACGGTCGAGTTTGCTAAGCAGTTCCTCAGTTATATCTGGATAAGCAATATCAGCATAATCTAAAATAGGAAGCAACAGTGTTGACTAACGTAACCTTGGCCGTCTGAGGGATAAACTTTTGCCAGAGCTTTAATGAATGCATTGTGCTAAAAATTCGTTTCCGGACCTCACTAACTTGTGACACCCAGCTTAGGTCGTGAGCCAAAATTAAGCCGAGGTTTTTAACCTGCCTAGCATACTCTAAATCAACACCGGTTAGAATAACCTTAGGCAGATGTTGATAGTCGAGTCGGCATGTAATTTTTCTGCTGCCTATGATTATAACCTGTGTTTTGGCAGGATTTAATATTAGTCCATGACAGCTTGCCCACTGATGAACTGCAGCAAGATCCAAATTCATTTTGTCAACAGATGCATTTAGGTCATTTACACTAAAATGCTGATACAGCTGGACATCATCTGCGTACAGGTGATACTTGCTGAAATTTATCACGGAAACAAGTGCCCTGATAAACACAGAAAAGAGCAACGGAGATAAAACACCGCCTTGAGGAACACCAGCAACAACGTTACACCAGTCGGAGAACTTATCATCAACACGAATACGTTGCCGGCGTCCCCGAAGATAGGAACTGAACCATTGTACTACTGATGATGTTAAATTCAGGGATTTTAGAACTGCTAACAGAATGTCGTGGTCAACACAATTAAACGCGTTACTGAAGTCTAGGAGGACAAGAAGAGTAAGTTGACGATTATCCATCGCAAAGCGGATATCATCAGTTATTTTAATTAAGGCCGTGGAAGTACTGTGCAGTGGACGGAAACCAGACTGAAAAGGATTGAAGAGGTTGTTTTTGTTTAGAAATTTTGTGAGTTGGTAATGAACAACCTTTTCAAGAATTTTAGAGAAGAAGGAGAGGATAGATATTGGCCTATAATGGTTGAAATTAGCAGGAGAGTTGTTTTTGGCGATAGGAATTAGGAACGCTTCTTTCCACTTGGTAGGGAAGGTACTGGAGGCAAAGGAAAAATTTATTAGATGAGTGACATGGGAAACTATTTGGTCCAAAATCGGCAAAACCATATCGCGTCCAATACCATCTGGGCCAACAGCTTTGCTGGATATAACGGATACAATTTTTTGATGATACTGATGAAGCAAAAGTAAGGACTGATTTAGTTTTTATCTCAATTGTAGTGGTTTTAACATGTTAGATCTTTGTAAATTGTTCCCTTAATTGTTACACATTGAGCGTTTGATTACATATTTCAATAAAATATATTTTATATCTAAATTATTCCATACTAAAGCGCACACTAAAAGTCAAACCCAATAACATCACGATCGTGCACTATTAAAGTTTGGGCAGGGTTAGTTACAGAACTTGGGGGTGTTTCGGAGCGTTTTCCCCTAAATAGACCCCAAAAAAAAAATTATTTAAATGTCATTGCTTATAAAATTTACGTTGCAAGTTTACTTGAATAACAATATTACTTATTAATAATAACAATCATTCGTGTAAGCTGTTAAATCTCTAGGCGCTGTATGTTTTTTGATCACGTGATCAAAGTACTAAGAGCATCTTGCCTCGAAAGCGCCAGTGCTCACAGTACAAAAATGGCGGCGATTTATGACGTCCATAACGGAACGAAATTTTCATCACTGAGAACACAAGTGTATATCGGAACCTATCTTATGGGCCCTATAAACCATCGGCCATGATGGGCGAATACTAGCGATCACGATCGTGTGGAGGGCATGATCGCCTATAATCGCCTATGATCGGTGATGATCGAGCGTAATGGCTGCTGTCGCTTTTTCGGACAATCATCAAAAGAAGTTCGGCCATGATCATGCGCGCATCTACATGATCGCCGATGCTCTATAAACTTACCTTGTTTTATTTCGGTGTATAGTTAACATCCACCTTTTTTTGCTTCCTTTTTTTTTTTCACCACTCTGTTAAGGTGTACGTCTAAATAATGGTTATACATATAAACTAATTAGGTAAATAAATACCGGCAGCTGCAACTGTTTCAACGTCCATCTCGGACAGATGACAATACAAATATATAGGATGCACGATTGTGTGAGTAGCCTCACAATGACTGTGACAATCATGCTACATTCTGTGGTTGTCAATCATGGCCGATGGTGTATAGGCGAGGTTAAAACTGTGCAAGCCGCGTCAAAACAGCGCGTCTCGGTGTGAACTGACCCTAAGAGGTATGAAATAATTAGTCAATTAAAGTAGGATGTGTTGTTTATTGATAAATTGCTTCAGTAAGCAATGCGTGGTGTTGTCATGCGGTAGCCAGGATCGTGGTGGTGGGAATTGCGAGCGCTCGGAGCTCGTGGCAGCGCCACACCCACTGTGGTTTCACACGCACCCCTCCCACACCCATATCCCGCCCATCCCCCAAGCTCACCACGTAGTCCACTGTCGCACCTTCCTCAGCGCACGACTCCTGCGTAATAACTCTTTTATAATTATTTTTATAAAGAATCATTATTTTTTTATAGAACAAGGATAACAAACGAGCACACAGTCCACCTGAAGGTAAGTGGATGCTGTGACCCATATACACCTACATCTATCATTAGTTAAGAATCAAAATGCAAATGCGTAAACTACCCCTGAGAAATAACATGGAATGCCTCGTTTCCAGTAAAAAGGGTCTCCGGTTCTCAACACTCACCATATGAAACACAGTAGCAATAAACTGCTATTTCACACTGGTATTCTCTAAGAGCGTGGTCCTTCCCCGGTCAAAGCAACCCATAGGTGCCACAACCATAATATATCTGCACCGTGGTTCTACGACGTAGTAAAAGTTCATATTAGCATCAAAAATGTCTTTATTCGATTACACAAAAATCGATACTTGCGGTCACCGTGCCGGCCGATTTAATACTGTACTCGTATTATGTAAGGCACATAGTCGTTACAGGCCCAAGCAGTGGACCCCAAGATTGAAATATCTCACCTGCTGCAGCAACAAGCCGCCGTAAGCTCGCACGTAGCGAGCCAGCAGCTCTACATCAAAGCCACTCCGCTGTACATCCTCCGCTATAAGGAAGGTCTTCCCATCAAAGAAGTCAGGCAGCGAGTTGGTGAGACTCGTGTCGTCCTCGTCTCCGCCGCGTTCCTCCTCCGTGTCGTCATAGTCCGAGTCATCTAGCGTCACTGAGCCTGGATAATTGCATTTCGTCCAATGAGAACATTCACGACTTTTTCTGCCACCAGGGCGGCGCCATTTAGGAATGAGGTGAAATATTTGACAGATTTCATGGCGGAGAAAGTTAATTTGTTACATATAAAGTAGATTCATAATTCTTTGTAATATATTAGTTATATTTTATAACTAGCGATCCGCCCCGGCTTCGCACGGGTGATTTCTGAATTTCGTCAACAGCGCCACCGACCGGTTCCGATTGTGAATATAAAGTTCAAAATTTCATCATACTCGGTTCAACCGTTTAGGAGGAGTTCAGTCACACACACACAGGGACAGAAGAATTATAGATAAACTACCGTCCAAAAGTTTCGAAGCACATCTGTTTTCATACAAAACAAAACATCGCCGACAATATGTATAAGTTAGTAATAAAATTAAAATTTTACGACCTTTTACAATTGTTCACACAAAAACAAAAAGATTATCATACCACATTCATCAAGTTTTGTGTGGTTTTATTGAACATTTTTGCTAGTTTTAACTTTTTTGGAGCTACTATAGTCTCACTTGAGCAATGGATCGAATAGAATAGAATAGAATAGAATATTTTTTTATTCAATATACATTACATGTGTAATTCTTATTGAAAGTCATTTTTTACTTTACCACTGGTTCGAAAAAACCCTCTGTCCTGGGAAGAACCAGCAAGAAACCCAGCGGGACTTTTTTTTTTAAATAAATTTTACAATATAAATTATTACGAACTATTTACAAAATTTATTTTAGAAACTGCTTGGAAGCGATCAACCTCATTCCCAAGGGTTATTATCAACCATGTATTCATTTATACTATAATAAGCCTTTTTATACAGTTTCAGCTTAATAAAACATTTAAACTTGGTAATAGAGAGAACCTGTACACTTTCCGGGACCTTGTTGTAATAGCGTATACATTGCCCCAAGAATGAATTACTGACTCTGTGGAGTCGAGAAACTGGTATCACTAGCTTGTGTTTGTTCCTAGTGTTTACAGAATGTATATCACTTCTTTTACTAAAACTATCTTTGTTTTTGTGAACATACATTAAATTTTCGTAAATATACTGAGAGGCCAAAGTTAATATATTAATTTCTTTAAATTTATCTCTAAGAGACTCTCTCGGTTTTAGATTGTAAATAGCTCTAATGGCCCTCTTCTGTAAAACAAAAATAGTTTCTGAATCAGCCGCATTTCCCCATAGCAAAATCCCATAAGACATTATGCTATGAAAATAACTAAAATAAACTAATCTAGCTGTCTCGACACTAGTGAGAACTCTAATCTTTTTTACAGCATAGGCTGCAGAACTTAGTCTGCTTGCTAATTTGGATATATGGGGGCCCCACTGGAGCTTTGCGTCAAGAGTGATGCCAAGAAAAACAGTGGATACAACAGGGCTCAATTCCTCCCCATTTAAAAACACATTGGTATTCAGATTTTGAACATTCGTTGTTGTAAATTTAACACAATTAGTTTTATTTCCGTTCAAATGCAGATTATTAACGTTAAACCAATGCACTAATTTTGATATAGCATTATTCACTTCGTCACATTTAAATGATTGACGTTTAAGTTTAAAAATCAAGGAAGTATCATCAGCAAATAATACTATATCATGACTATCCCCTACAAGGTGAGGTAAGTCATTAATATACACCAGAAACAGGAATGGGCCGAGAATCGAGCCCTGAGGTACACCCATTAGTACAGGTGACCCGGAAGAACTTTTACCATTGATAATAACCTTCTGTTTTCTATTACTTAAATATGAAATAATAAGTTTAAGCGCTGTGTTCTTGACACCATAGTACTGTAGCTTCCTGATTAATGTCTCATGGTGAACACAGTCGAAGGCCTTGGAAAGGTCACAAAATATACCCAAAGCATCCTCTGATTTCTCCCATGCACAAAAAATATGTTTAATAAGCTCAACTCCAGCGTCAGTTGTCGAGCGACCCCTTGTAAAACCGAATTGATTATTATGTAGCAATTTATTAATATTAAAGAAACTTAACATCTGATCTAAAATAATTTTTTCAAAAATTTTACTTAATGTTGGTAGTACAGAAATTGGTCTAAAATTGGCGGGGTCTAATGTACTACCAGATTTAAATATAGGTATGACTTTACTATGTTTCATTAAATCAGGAAACACACCAGATTCGACGCTTATATTAAATATAGTGGCTAGATAAGGTGCTAATGTATCTATTATAGATAAAATAACTTTAACGGAAATCCCCCATAAGTCTGCCGTTTTCTTAACATCAATAGTTTTAAAATATTTAACGATATCTTTTGGCAGTACCCTATGGAATTTAAAAGTATTTGAACAAGCCTTTACATTTTGTTTGAGCAATGATTCGGCGACAGTAGGAGAAGAATTTAATGATTTTGTTGTCAAAAAAGGAACATCAGTAAAATGTTTCTCAAAAGCCATAGCAACTTCTTGATCAGATCGCGTTAAATTATTGTTAATATTCAATTGAAAATCCGAGTTGCGCGGTTTGACCTTGCCCGTTTCACTATTTATTATTCTCCAGGTCATTTTAATTTTGTCGGATGCAGTTTTAATTTTGTTGCTTAAATGTAAAGCCTTAGCAGTGGAGCACACTTTTTTAAATATTTTAGAATATGTTTTTACATAATCTCTAAATATAACACTACTATTATATGATCTTTCATCATAAAGCTCGTATAACCTTCGCCTACTTTTATGAATTCCTACTGTCGCCCATTCATTAAATGATTTGCGACTGTTAAAAGAGAAAGTTTTAGAAGTAAATATTCTACTAAATTCACAACGTATAATTTCAAATAATGTAGCATACAAATAATTAGCACTATTTTTAAACGAAAGTGATGGAAGTCTTTTTATTATATTACTTCTAAACCTCTCCAAGCGATGTTCATTTATTGGAACAAACACAACTTTCTTATTTTTCTGTTTTTTGTGTATGTAAGGTAGTGATACTAACTGTCCACAGTGATCTGAACTTAAATTTTGAATAATTGATTTATGCAAGGGCTTAACATCTGTAAAAATGTTATCTATACAGGTCGCACTAGGCCCAGCAATACGTGTTGGTTCTAAGAATAAATTTACAAGATTATACGATTTAAACAATGAGCTAAACTTAATACTAATGGATCGCGAAGGTTGTGATATATTAACATTAGTTGTATGCGAAAAATTTTGACTAGGTACTACTTTGACCGTACTTTATCTTCTGAACTGGGCTGACCACCTTGTCCAGCGCGAGATCTCCCATTTTCCTTCCAATGCCAAAATTATAATATAGTTTAATTTGTAAAATAAGTAATTATAATTTATAATATACGGCCGCTAGAGGGGCGCTGATAATGTGATAATCAAGCCTAGAGCGCTGTCGACATTTAATCCGCCTCTGTATATACATACGCTATAAACCTAAAAACTGTGTACTGTGTGACCATCCGCGTAACAAATACGTTCACCTTGGTCGTTTCGGAAAAAAATATTATTTTTTGGTCAGAGTTGAGAAATTTGCTACCACCAACGTCACCCACGCGAGCAAGCACCGTTTGTTTTTGTTGTATGCAGTAAGAAAAAAGTCTTATAAAAAACACATAATTTTTTATCAATATCATTGTAAATCAACCGTTATTTAAATTAGGAAGCGGAAAATCTTCATTTAATTGGAATTCATAATGATTTCTTATATTTACGCGAATACTACACATTAAATGAAAAAGTAGAGTACCTACTGTTATTCCAAAGTTAGAGTAACAGTATTCACTCAGTGTATGTTGCCTTTGATAACCTACGGAACCGAGGGATGGTCTTTCTTGGATGGTGGTCGTAAGAGGAAACTAAAAGTAGCTTAGTGAAGTACTCTAATAATTCATAAAGAGGACACGCTGTAAAATGAGATAGCAATCAAATACTCGCTTATAATCGTTAAAAATCAGCTAAAACAGACCCAATTTATCAGTAAGCTTTTATACGTGGCAGTTTACAAAACTTACAGTTGGGAAACGAATGTACTTGTGGCAGTAATGGTGAGTGCTTTACGGGGCGACCGTGTGCCGGCGCACTACATCTATTAGTCTGCTGTACATGCGGTAGACGTTAACGTGTTTTATAGTATTTATTTCACTAATTTTATGTGCCGTTTCCGAAAAATATAATATATATTATGAGGAATAACTGCTATAGTTAAATAAGTTATTAAGTAAAATTGAATTCAAATAACAACCACTCTTATTTTTCCTCATATTTTTTTTGATTATCCGAATACAAATATTTAAAATAGTACTTAACAAAATGCTTATTGTAAAAAGCTATTACAATTTAAATTAATATTTTAATGATAAATTATAAATTTTAATTATTTTGCCAAAATTTATTATTTCTATTTACTTATTTGACATTGTTAATATTTTCATCAAAATTTTAAATCTTATTTACATGAATGAAAAATGACCAATAGTTGAGATGAAATATTTATTGACATTTAACAAATAAATAAATAATAATGTATAGATTATTTACTGTAAATATTGGAATTTAATTTAATTCTATATTAATTAATATTTAAACTCCGTCTGAATATGCTACGCCCGTACAGGCTGTCACATGCTTTGTAAATATATTGTAACAACTTTATACTTTGTGACATGCAACAAATTAATTATGAATACTTTAACATAATGAAATTTAACAATTGAAAACCGAAAACATCTGTAAAAAGAGTCAATGTATTTGGCAGTGCAACACTTATAAATGTGTTTTTTCTAGTACTAATAAAAAATTATATTGTTCGATAAATGTTTTTAACTCATAAGTATTTACATAATGTTAATAAATGATAATAAGTAATATAATATCCAAAATTATTTTTTTTCGTGACAACCTCTAGCATAACCTACGCGGGCGGCGGCATCAACTGACATCAAATGCCTGTCTCACTCTGCGCTTTTGGCATGAAAATATACTTACGCTGCGCGGCTGCCTACAAGAGGTTAATTTAGTGAGGGTGTGATGAAACGCGCCTTACGTTAATAAAAAAGTGTTTTTCTCTCATAAGTATTTAGGCACTTTTGATATTTATTTTAAGTTTTTATTCAAGTATGGCTTCTCAAAAAGTCAAAAGGTACTGCATAGCATGCGCGTGCTTAAATAACAATAGAAATTGCGACTTTTCATTCTTTACTGTTCCCAAGGATACCGAAAGGTAAGGTATTATTATTTATAGGAAGATCTAGATAATTAAGTATCTAGTTAGTTAGTAGATTTATTATCAAATAATAAATCTGCTAATAAATAGCGACCAGACCACAGCTTCGCAGTTTTCGATTTTTTCGCGTATAATGCCAATGACCAGAATTAATGCAATGTAAGTAAACCTCCCAGCACTAATGACTGCCAACTAATGCAAGATCAGCATATACTGGTTATATGTTTAACACTTGGTCGATAAAAAAAAGAGATTGAAAATAGCAGCATTTCTCATTGCCACTAATTCATTAATAATGCCGTCGCGTGTCGCATGTTTGTATATAGTAAAAAAGGTGAAACAGACGTGACGGCTCCGTGGTGCAGTGGCTTATCAATGAATAATTCGCGCTAAGGGCCACGGGTTCGAATCCCGCATGGAACAAGTATTTCTATGGCCTACAAACAATTGTTTTGGGTCTGGATGTTTGTCCTTGTGAAATCTATGTATGTAAACTGCCCCCGCGATACAGGAGAAAATCCTAGTGTGGAGGTAACGTTTTTTAAGAAGAGAAGAAGAGAGACAATAGCTAATGAAATTAAACATTTTGTACAACCGAGTTCAATATTAATACGCATTATTAAGAATAACTCTAAAATTACTGGTCAGATCTTGATAAAATTTATATGGCGTATATAAAGTATGAGCACCAGTTTTCAAATAAAAAAGAATCATCAAAATCGGTTCATCCAGAAAAAAAGTTCTGAGATAACACATATAAATATACCTTTTTTTGAAGTCGGTTAAAAATGAACAACCTATGAACAACCGTAACACCAGGGGAATTGCAGGTGCGTTGCCGGCCTTTTAGAAAGGAGTAAGTTCTTTTCTTGAAGGTACCTAAGTCGTATCAGTCCAGAAAAATCGCCGGTGGTAAACTATTCCACAGAGAAGTTGTACGAGGAAGAAAACTCCTAGTAAAACGCACAGTGGTGGACCGCCAAGCATCCAGATGGTGAGGATGATATCGTGAATTTGGACGCGATGTGCGTTCGTGAAATTTGGCGGCTGGAATTAATCCGAACAATTCCTCAGAACACCCTGTGGTAGATACGATAGATAATGCAAAGAGATGCAACATCCCTACGCAGCGCCAGTGAGCTGATCGAAACGATCAGAAAGAATTCGGTCGTCGACGATTCGTACTGTTCTGAGCTGGATGCGTTCGATTGGAAGGAGCTGGCACTGGATTGCCCTGGCCCAGAGATGAGAACAGTACTCCACGTGAGGCCGAACTTTTGCTTTGTAAAGTTGCAAGCGATGTGCCGGCATGAAATACTATCTCGCTCTGCTGAGCACGCTCAGCTTTTTAGAGGCCAACTTGGCCTTCCCTTCCAAGTGACCACGAAACTGCACATTATTCGATATGTCGACGTTGAGGATTCAGATGATAGCTGAGTCAGCAAGGGGAGTGCCTTGAAACTGAGGAGATACGACAAAGAGGTTCTTTTACCATCTCATCTTGTTTATCGTTCTTTTTAGCGGTAAACGCACCCACTTGTCTTCTGGGGATTGAACTGGACTACATTTAATCCCAATCCGAGACTGTTCAGCAAAGACTCGACTTCAGACACAAGTTTGTCCCGGTACTCGGCGACGTTTCCCCGAGAAATATTGGCACGATCGGTGTATAAAGCATCACCAGTGCTGTCGTCTGCATAGCAATGAATGTTACCAGTTTGCAACATATCATTGACATGCAGAAGAAACAGCGTTGGTGATATACACGCAGCCCTATGGAACACCAGCGTTAATAGGCTTGTAATCAGAGCATGCACCGTCCGCTATGACCTTGATACTCCGATCAGCAAGGAAACTGGTGATCCAATCGCACAATTTCTCGGGAAGCCCATAGGAAAGGAGCTTCGAAAGAAGCGCTTTGTGCCAGAACCGATCAAAGGCCTTCGCTATGTCTGAACTAACGGCCAATGCCTCCCCCTTGGACTCAACTGCTTCCATCTATGAGTCAGGTAAACCAGAAGATTACCAGCTGATCGACTCCAACGAAAATCATATTGGCAGTCCTCATGAACTGGCAGTTTATAATATCAGCTTAATGTTGCTGTTTCGTAAAGTGAAGTGATGAAAACCGTAAGTCAACCTTAACTTAAATATCCTATGAGGCAATCAATGGGCTCCCCCATTTCTCTTTGTTTAGCAGTGGAATTGCAATGACCTGTTATGAATTAATGATTGAAATAATGATGTTTGTACGAGTGTCTCGTAACTCTAGTAGCGTACCTTTCATCCTCTCGTCGCATATAAAGGCCACGTCGTCGTCAGATTGTGCAGGCGAGCTGGTGCGCCGCTTCTTCTGTTCCCGGAGCACCTTCTCTATTTCGTCGTCCGTGTCGCCCTCCGCTATTTGTAACAATATTCTGATGTACGTAAATCACAGCACAAGGCACGATTTAATTTGTTAGGAAAGAGTAGAGATTAATGTTCTGTATTGTAGAGATTAATGTCTGTATGTAGAGATTAAAATTTCTGAAATATGTATTAGTTATAATTTATATTAGTTAAATTAGAAATGGATAAGCCAAACTACGGATAAAAGTAAAAGAAATAAAAAATGTGAAAAAAAAAAATAATTCAACAATTAGGTATTGTTTTGTGAATATACACACACACTAAAAACCGACAAACTTATAATTTTTAATGTAATGAATAATTTCACTTCAGTCTCAACTAGCGACATCTGGTGAGCGTAAGATTATTAGCTCTCATTGATTACTAAGCTCCGGCGCCGCTCTGGTGGTAGAAAAACAAGTGGATGCCCTCTTTGTTAATGTGTAAATTGACATGCTCACCTTGTTGTTCTGCGTGTGACGAGGGCTGTGGAGACTGAGGCGGCGGTGGAGACTGTGTGTGCTTCGTATGCTGCGTGTGCTGTGAATGCTGCGTGTGCTGTGAATGCTGTGAATGCTGCACGTGCGGTGCGTAGCGAGCTTCGTGCATGCGGCGGCGCCGAGCCCTGCAGGCGCGCAGCCAGGCCGCGCTCACGATGTGTGCGTGCGGCGCTTCACTCTTCACCTTCCTCAGCTTCGGCGTGTTCGGAAACGCGCACCTGCACACACACTCGATCATTAAAGCTTCGCTTACAAACATTTCTATGAAGTTCTTCACATTATGCCGAATACGGTAAAACACTAAACCTAGCATTTATTTATTTAATAATTGCAAATATTTCTACGTATATTACTAGACACAGTAATTTAGAATAAACAATGTGTCATAGCTGACCGTAGCATCCACTTATCATCAGGTAGACTGTGTGATCGATTGTCACCCTTATTCTAAATAAATCTAAACAAAATAAGAGCCTAGCATTTTCAACAAACATTTTGTCAGCGCAGACAATAATCAAAACACCCAGACTGGCAAAATATGAACATTGCTCTTCACTCATAATATGCTTTCAACATTCGTATGTTTCTATAAATTGCTATACCAGAGCAAATCTACTAAATCTATCTCCCCCATAAATTGTCCCGCAGCTCCCCACGCTCGGATGCACGAGTGCACGAGTGCACGTGTACAAGAGCAGTGAGCAGTGAGCAGTGAGCAGTGAGCAGTGAGCACTGACACGAGATGCGTGCAGTCGTGCGTCCAGTCGGGGCGGTAGCGCGCGCCGAGCGCCAGCCCGGCGTCCCGCAGCTCCCCGCGCTCGGGTGCACGAGTGCACGTGTACAAGAGCAGTGAGCAGTGAGCAGTGAGCAGTGAGCAGTGAGCACTGACACGAGATGCGTGCAGTCGTGCGTCCAGTCGGGGCGGTAGCGCGCGCCGAGCGCCAGCCCGGCGTCCCGCAGCTCCCCGCGCTCGGGTGCACGAGTGCACGTGTACAAGAGCAGTGAGCAGTGAGCAGTGAGCAGTGAGCAGTGAGCACTGACACGAGATGCGTGCAGTCGTGCGTCCAGTCGGGGCGGTAGCGCGCGCCGAGCGCCAGCCCGGCGTCCCGCAGCTCCCCGCGCTCGGGTGCACGAGTGCACGTGTACAAGAGCAGTGAGCAGTGAGCAGTGAGCAGTGAGCAGTGAGCACTGACACGAGATGCGTGCAGTCGTGCGTCCAGTCGGGGCGGTAGCGCGCGCCGAGCGCCAGCCCGGCGTCCCGCAGCTCCCCGCGCTCGGGTGCACGAGTGCACGTGTACAAGAGCAGTGAGCAGTGAGCACTGACACGAGATGCGTGCAGTCGTGCGTCCAGTCGGGGCGGTAGCGCGCGCCGAGCGCCAGCCCGGCGTCCCGCAGCTCCCCGCGCTCGGGTGCACGAGTGCACGTGTACAAGAGCAGTGAGCAGTGAGCACTGACACGAGATGCGTGCAGTCGTGCGTCCAGTCGGGGCGGTAGCGCGCGCCGAGCGCCAGCCCGGCGTCCCGCAGCTCCCCGCGCTCGGGTGCACGAGTGCACGTGTACAAGAGCAGTGAGCAGTGAGCACTGACACGAGATGCGTGCAGTCGTGCGTCCAGTCGGGGCGGTAGCGCGCGCCGAGCGCCAGCCCGGCGTCCCGCAGCTCCCCGCGCTCGGGTGCACGAGTGCACGTGTACAAGAGCAGTGAGCAGTGAGCACTGACACGAGATGCGTGCAGTCGTGCGTCCAGTCGGGGCGGTAGCGCGCGCCGAGCGCCAGCCCGGCGTCCCGCAGCTCCCCGCGCTCGGGTGCACGAGTGCACGTGTACAAGAGCAGTGAGCAGTGAGCAGTGAGCAGTGAGCAGTGAGCAGTGAGCACTGACACGAGATGCGTGCAGTCGTGCGTCCAGTCGGGGCGGTAGCGCGCGCCGAGCGCCAGCCCGGCGTCCCGCAGCTCCCCGCGCTCGGGTGCACGAGTGCACGTGTACAAGAGCAGTGAGCAGTGAGCAGTGAGCAGTGAGCAGTGAGCACTGACACGAGATGCGTGCAGTCGTGCGTCCAGTCGGGGCGGTAGCGCGCGCCGAGCGCCAGCCCGGCGTCCCGCAGCTCCCCGCGCTCGGGTGCACGAGTGCACGTGTACAAGAGCAGTGAGCAGTGAGCAGTGAGCAGTGAGCAGTGAGCACTGACACGAGATGCGTGCAGTCGTGCGTCCAGTCGGGGCGGTAGCGCGCGCCGAGCGCCAGCCCGGCGTCCCGCAGCTCCCCGCGCTCGGGTGCACGAGTGCACGTGTACAAGAGCAGTGAGCAGTGAGCAGTGAGCACTGACACGAGATGCGTGCAGTCGTGCGTCCAGTCGGGGCGGTAGCGCGCGCCGAGCGCCAGCCCGGCGTCCCGCAGCTCCCCGCGCTCGGGTGCACGAGTGCACGTGTACAAGAGCAGTGAGCAGTGAGCAGTGAGCAGTGAGCAGTGAGCACTGACACGAGATGCGTGCAGTCGTGCGTCCAGTCGGGGCGGTAGCGCGCGCCGAGCGCCAGCCCGGCGTCCCGCAGCTCCCCGCGCTCGGGTGCACGAGTGCACGTGTACAAGAGCAGTGAGCAGTGAGCACTGACACGAGATGCGTGCAGTCGTGCGTCCAGTCGGGGCGGTAGCGCGCGCCGAGCGCCAGCCCGGCGTCCCGCAGCTCCCCGCGCTCGGGTGCACGAGTGCACGTGTACAAGAGCAGTGAGCAGTGAGCAGTGAGCAGTGAGCAGTGAGCACTGACACGAGATGCGTGCAGTCGTGCGTCCAGTCGGGGCGGTAGCGCGCGCCGAGCGCCAGCCCGGCGTCCCGCAGCTCCCCGCGCTCGGGTGCACGAGTGCACGTGTACAAGAGCAGTGAGCAGTGAGCAGTGAGCAGTGAGCAGTGAGCACTGACACGAGATGCGTGCAGTCGTGCGTCCAGTCGGGGCGGTAGCGCGCGCCGAGCGCCAGCCCGGCGTCCCGCAGCTCCCCGCGCTCGGGTGCACGAGTGCACGTGTACAAGAGCAGTGAGCAGTGAGCAGTGAGCACTGACACGAGATGCGTGCAGTCGTGCGTCCAGTCGGGGCGGTAGCGCGCGCCGAGCGCCAGCCCGGCGTCCCGCAGCTCCCCGCGCTCGGGTGCACGAGTGCACGTGTACAAGAGCAGTGAGCAGTGAGCAGTGAGCACTGACACGAGATGCGTGCAGTCGTGCGTCCAGTCGGGGCGGTAGCGCGCGCCGAGCGCCAGCCCGGCGTCCCGCAGCTCCCCGCGCTCGGGTGCACGAGTGCACGTGTACAAGAGCAGTGAGCAGTGAGCAGTGAGCACTGACACGAGATGCGTGCAGTCGTGCGTCCAGTCGGGGCGGTAGCGCGCGCCGAGCGCCAGCCCGGCGTCCCGCAGCTCCCCGCGCTCGGGTGCACGAGTGCACGTGTACAAGAGCAGTGAGCAGTGAGCACTGACACGAGATGCGTGCAGTCGTGCGTCCAGTCGGGGCGGTAGCGCGCGCCGAGCGCCAGCCCGGCGTCCCGCAGCTCCCCGCGCTCGGGTGCACGAGTGCACGTGTACAAGAGCAGTGAGCAGTGAGCAGTGAGCAGTGAGCAGTGAGCAGTGAGCACTGACACGAGATGCGTGCAGTCGTGCGTCCAGTCGGGGCGGTAGCGCGCGCCGAGCGCCAGCCCGGCGTCCCGCAGCTCCCCGCGCTCGGGTGCACGAGTGCACGTGTACAAGAGCAGTGAGCAGTGAGCAGTGAGCAGTGAGCAGTGAGCACTGACACGAGATGCGTGCAGTCGTGCGTCCAGTCGGGGCGGTAGCGCGCGCCGAGCGCCAGCCCGGCGTCCCGCAGCTCCCCGCGCTCGGGTGCACGAGTGCACGTGTACAAGAGCAGTGAGCAGTGAGCACTGACACGAGATGCGTGCAGTCGTGCGTCCAGTCGGGGCGGTAGCGCGCGCCGAGCGCCAGCCCGGCGTCCCGCAGCTCCCCGCGCTCGGGTGCACGAGTGCACGTGTACAAGAGCAGTGAGCAGTGAGCAGTGAGCAGTGAGCACTGACACGAGATGCGTGCAGTCGTGCGTCCAGTCGGGGCGGTAGCGCGCGCCGAGCGCCAGCCCGGCGTCCCGCAGCTCCCCGCGCTCGGGTGCACGAGTGCACGTGTACAAGAGCAGTGAGCAGTGAGCAGTGAGCAGTGAGCACTGACACGAGATGCGTGCAGTCGTGCGTCCAGTCGGGGCGGTAGCGCGCGCCGAGCGCCAGCCCGGCGTCCCGCAGCTCCCCGCGCTCGGGTGCACGAGTGCACGTGTACAAGAGCAGTGAGCAGTGAGCACTGACACGAGATGCGTGCAGTCGTGCGTCCAGTCGGGGCGGTAGCGCGCGCCGAGCGCCAGCCCGGCGTCCCGCAGCTCCCCGCGCTCGGGTGCACGAGTGCACGTGTACAAGAGCAGTGAGCAGTGAGCAGTGAGCAGTGAGCAGTGAGCACTGACACGAGATGCGTGCAGTCGTGCGTCCAGTCGGGGCGGTAGCGCGCGCCGAGCACCAGCCCGGCGTCCCGCAGCTCCCCGCGCTCGGGTGCACGAGTGCACGTGTACAAGAGCAGTGAGCAGTGAGCACTGACACGAGATGCGTGCAGTCGTGCGTCCAGTCGGGGCGGTAGCGCGCGCCGAGCGCCAGCCCGGCGTCCCGCAGCTCCCCGCGCTCGGGTGCACGAGTGCACGTGTACAAGAGCAGTGAGCAGTGAGCAGTGAGCACTGACACGAGATGCGTGCAGTCGTGCGTCCAGTCGGGGCGGTAGCGCGCGCCGAGCGCCAGCCCGGCGTCCCGCAGCTCCCCGCGCTCGGGTGCACGAGTGCACGTGTACAAGAGCAGTGAGCAGTGAGCAGTGAGCAGTGAGCAATGAGCACTGACACGAGATGCGTGCAGTCGTGCGTCCAGTCGGGGCGGTAGCGCGCGCCGAGCGCCAGCCCGGCGTCCCGCAGCTCCCCGCGCTCGGGTGCACGAGTGCACGTGTACAAGAGCAGTGAGCAGTGAGCACTGACACGAGATGCGTGCAGTCGTGCGTCCAGTCGGGGCGGTAGCGCGCGCCGAGCGCCAGCCCGGCGTCCCGCAGCTCCCCGCGCTCGGGTGCACGAGTGCACGTGTACAAGAGCAGTGAGCAGTGAGCAGTGAGCACTGACACGAGATGCGTGCAGTCGTGCGTCCAGTCGGGGCGGTAGCGCGCGCCGAGCGCCAGCCCGGCG